ACATTTTGTTAAAAATGTACACTTTTTTTTAAAAAAAAATTGGTAAGATAAGACTATCACAAACCATAAATCATACAAATATTTAATTGTTCTATTGTTGGTTTAACCTTTCTGTCTCTTTTCGGTAAGGTATTAACAAGACAAATGAAAAATTAGCATCTTTTGATCGAATTGGACTCTTTTGGGCAATAAAAGGTTGTCCCAAACAAAATGCTTATTTTGGGATGGTGGGAGTATCAAAGTACCACATATATAGTAGGGAAGAAATAGTTTATTTATGATTCTTCTATCTATATGTTAATGCAGGGATTTTTTGTGATGCTTTCATGGATGCCAATTTACTTCAAAACTGTAAGTTGAAGCAGATAGTTTTGTTTCACGAATGCATTTGAATTACTGTAGATGACCGTTTGATGTTTTTACACTTTTTTGGTAGATATACCGTGTTGATGTCAGACAAGCAGCATGGTTTAGTGCTGTTCCATGGAGTATGATGGCATTAATGGGTTACGTTGCTGGTGTTTTATCTGACCGTATGATTCGGAGTGGTATAAGTGTTACACTGACCCGCAAAGTGATGCAGGTATGAGTATCTTCTATCATTTGTTCATTTTCTTTTATAAATTTATTTTTGAACATTATGGCTGTGTTTGAAACTCGGGAAATGCTAAGGAAGGATCACATTCAAGGAAGATACTTTTCTTATACGGAGTATTTAGTTTTACCTTGAAAAGTACGAAGGATAATAAAAGTTAGTTTTTGAGCCGCAATTATAGTTATATGTTACACCAATTTCGGAAACATTCGAATAAAAAGAGTTTGAAAAAAAACAAAATTGATTTATATGCAGTTTGAGGCAATTCTTTTATTTATCCCACACAATGTCTTCCCTTCCGAATTATCTAGGGAGCATCTATTTTGTCCCTGTTTTCTTCCCTTGGCATTGTCCGAGTTACAAATGGTCCATATAGATCTTGTCATTTCAGAATTTGGCTATTAACTTCCAACACACTTATTTTATCTCCTTTTGTAGTCAATTGGTTTTTTTGGACCTGGGATTGCCCTCATTGGTTTAACTAAGGCTCCAACTCCAACAATAGCATCAGCTTGGTTTACTCTAGCTGTCGGGTTAAAAGCGTTCAGTCACTGTGGCTTCCTTGTAAACCTCCAGGTTAGCAGATTCATCCAATCCAATATAATTATCCAATGAGCAGCGAAATCACCTACTTACATCTTGTTCTTTTACTATCTTTCTCTTGTCCAGGAAATCGCCCCTCAGTATTCAGGTGTTTTGCATGGTATGTAGCTTCTCTCCCTAATTGTGTGTGTGTGTGTGTGTGAGAGAGAGAGAGAGAGAGGGGAATAGAGAATAAATTATGTTAAAACACTCTGTGGCTCAATACAACACTACAACCCCCACCCCTCATTGCGATTTGATCATTGTGTGATAGCTGCTTTTTAGCTCGGGTGCTACATTCCCAATAAGCAGACCAAGTAGTAGCCACTTATTTTCCTAAAGCTGATTTTACCCCACTTACCTTTTGTTTTTCGAAAATTCTGCAGATTCACCCGTTTCAATCAAAAGACCATTGCCAAACAGGCCCTCTAATTCTGCTATTTTTTTTAAAATGGTACATAGGTATGTCAAACACCGCAGGTACACTGGCAGCCATAATAGGAACTGTTGGCACTGGCTTCTTCGTCGAGTTAGTTGGTTCTTTCAAGGGATTTTTAGTGCTCACGTCATTTTTGTACTTTTGTGCTGCTCTCTTCTATAATGTCTTTTCCACAGGAGAAAGGGTTAACTTTGATGAAACTTGTTAGATGTATCATCATCCTTTCTATAGCTCAGGGTTGTGGATTTCCTGGCAACATTAGCACTCTATATAGGTACTCATCATACTTCTTATTCGTCAATGGAAGCCAATTTTGTTGCAAAAATGTTAAAAATTACGGTGTATGTTTGAACTTTAGGCATTTATTCCATTCATCAACCGAAGCAACACCTATACTTTTGCCTAGTCACATTTGAATACCTGACAAAAATCAAAGCGTCAACAGAGTTATGGGGTATCCATATGACCATATAGTTCAAATGTTTTATATACACACCCACCCCACCCCACCCCACCCCCACACTGATGATTTATCTGCAGTTGGTGTCATGCTAAATATACTGCTTACTACATATTATCCATTATTTATGGAGAGTAAACAAACAATGGGTTCATTGTTGACTTTTTGCTTCCTTATAATGTTTCTTAAAATCCTTAGTACATTGTAAACCTATCTAGAGTATGTGGGTTGATTATTTGTTTTATTATGAATCTCACATACATATACTGCACATATATCTGTTTGAGCATAGATATAGCCTGATATTATTATGTCATTATTTCTTACGAGTATAAAAGCTCTTGAGTTTTACAGAGTAATAGTTACTCGATACTTATATTTTAGATTCTAATGTTTAGTTTGCAGTGAATTGCTTTCTTATGATTATTTTAAAATTGTACCCTTCTTCAAAATTAAAACAATTTAACAATTTCATTTTGAAAATGTTGGTCATGTAACGCACGCGTGAAATACTAGTTAAGTTAGTGAAAATAGAGACTTTTTCATCTAAACCTGATTATTGAGTTCGTGTGCTCTTCTCGGGCTTGGAAGGTTTGAAGCAAAAGCGAAGTTTAGCAAAGAACCTGATGGGGCTTGTGTTTGGGTCGCGATCCAACCGGTTTGAATGCCGGCCAAGTCTGATAAACATCGGAACATGAAGAGCATATATGTAAATGATATTTTAGTCTTTCCATTGCCATGACACCAATTAAGAAAAAAAGGTTGTATATAGTACTAGTTTTATTTTAGGAAAGTGATATTGTTTTGATACAGTGCTTATATTTCATAGGTAACAACAACAACTCAGTTGAATCTCACTACAATAGAGTCTGGGGAGGGTGTGTGTACGCAGACCTTGCCCCTACTCGGAAGTAGGGAGGCTGTTTCATAGGTAACATTCTTTGAAAATCTACAAACTTTTGAATATTATTAGACTTAGAATTTAGAAAAATATGGCTCATATAAAATCATTATTCAAAACATTCTTTGAAAATAAAGGAAGATTTGAACACCATTAGATTTAAAATATGTTAAAGCATACATAGTACTTCATTCGTCCATAGTACTTCATTCGTCCATTAATTTCTTTTTCACTTTCCTTTTTAGACCATTCAAAAGTTTCTTTTTCGTTTCCTATTTTGGCAATACAATTTTAATAAATGTTCCATTGTACCTGCACTTTTTTCTAACACTATTTACTTTATTTTATTGCATCAAGAGTAAAACAAAAAAATTATACTTTTTAACTTTTCTTAATCTCTGTGTCAAGTCAAAATCGGAAAGCAATTTTTTGACGGAGGGAGTATCAATTAAAAACCCTCAAATTTAAGAACATTTTAAAATCTTAATTTCTTTTGAAAGGAATTTTAAAATCTTTATTAATATTCACAAACTTTTGAACTCCACAATGAAAACAAACCCCCAATTGAAAACACCCCAAGTGCATCAATTAATGCTGTTGTCTCTAACCATATTTTTAGAGGAATCAGGGGGGGGGGTTTACTTAAAAAATCTGATAGACACAAATTTAGTGAAATTTTAAAAACAGAAATGGTTTATAGACCCAATAATTTAAATTTCCAAAATTTTTTAGATCAATCAACAGCAAAACTGAAATTCCTCTCATTTTCATAATATAATAACCTAAAACTAAGTTGTTGGAGCGTATTTACAAAACATTTATTTATGATGTTAGGGGTGACCATCATCATTTCCGGTTGGGATTCTAAAAAAGAATGAATCCCATCCCCATAGCCCACTTAGACCTAGCCACACAATTACGGAGAAAAAGAGATAAATAAAGCTTTAATCACAGATTGGTAACAAAGAATATAGTCCAACAAAATTAATTAGCAAAATATAAAAGGAAAACAAAATTTATCAGAAAAAATTGAAGTTTACTACTCCGTATATGGTGAACACATCAAGTAAAATGGCTGAAGAAGTCATTATGTATAGACATAATAAGCACATTTATAGGCACTATGAAATCTTATGTGCAAAAAATTGGGTTAGATGTTTTGAGATTTTGATGAAGGTGAGGTACAACAACTGGCATTGTGGAAATTTGGATTATCCATGTTGAGGAAGGCAGGGAATTCAATAGTGACCAAGTTCAAGGTCAAAAATGACTTCCTTAATACTATCTCCGTCACTGAGTATTTGTCCAGTTTTCACTTTTCTCAGTCAATTATTTTCAACCTTTGACCAATAATTAAATAAAATATATATTACTCTCTCCGTCCCCCAGTTTTTGTCCACTTTTGACTTTTGGAACTGTTCATCTAAGCACTTTGACTCATCAAATTCTCTCAATGTGTAAGCCTAAATATAGTCATGTGTAATCTTGTTTGATTTGTCTTAACATATAGATTATTAATATATAATTTTTATAATTTTTTAATATACAAATTACAAGATAAAATGATTAAAGAAGTGCATTGGATGGTGTGTAAAAATGAAAGTGGACAAATACCCTGGGACGGAGGAAGTATATTTTAATGAAATAAAATAATATTTTGAAAATATTTGATATAATAAATCTAAGAAAACTCTTTTTGTTTCTATATCTAATATTATTTTTATTTAATTTGAGGTCAAATTTTACCAATTTTGATCGAAAAAAGTCAAAAGTGACTACACCAAATCATAATGACTTCCTTGCACTTGCTCCACTGCGGCCTTACAAATCATAAGGACCACATGTTGAACTACACCAATTACATAATATTGTGTCTTTTTACGCACACAATAATGTCTTTATTTGTAATTATTAGGGAGTATAATATTGTCCTATTGAAAATATATACTCCAATTATCTGTTAGCTTATATTTAAAAAAAAATTGTGTATGCACTTACTAAACGGGTTATTTAGTAACTTAGTGGGGAGAGACTGTATTTACTATTTAGTAACTTATAAACGTTAAACTTGAAGGAGTCTAAATTAAAACACAAAAAAAAAAAAAAACAAATCATGGACATCAAATCCAAAATCAATCACAAGCAAACCCTTCATAATCAGTCATCAAAGTGGCTGCCGCATGTAATGAAACCCAGCATTATCAAATTCCCGGCCAATCTCTTCACGTAGGTTGCCAAGGAAAGGAGGACCTTGTGATTCCAAAATTTGAGAAGCGTTCATGGATGTAATCCGGCCATCTTCATCAAAAAAAACAAGAGTCTCGTGTGGCCCGCAGAGAGGGTGGAAGAAATCAGCACAAAGTTTGGCTGACTTGGTCGGGTCTGCAAGGCATACCAACAACCCCTTCTTCATAAAGTCTTTATCACTAGCGCCGCTACCATCTATGCTTACAGTAACCACCGCAACAACACTTGAAAACTTTCTCTTAATATCCTTTTTATGCCATGCACTCAATTTATCAGCTAGGAATTTCTCCTTCTCTTTGTACAGATACAAAACAACAATCTTGTTCGTAAGCATATCTGTACATATATCAATCCAGGTGCAGGAATCAATAGTGGTATAAACATGTTCCCAAGGAAGTAGTAATGAGTTCAATCTCAGTCCCATTTTCCTTTGAAATTCCTTCTCAATCAAACTCCTCCTGGTGAAGGGATAACCGTGCATGCCGAAGTCACGGATGATTGGTAATCCATAGGGATCCACATGCTTTTCAACAGGATCTACTATGAAAACACCTTCCTCATTACTGTCAACTTTACACATTCGCCGTAGCCTATGGCATGCGACATTGTCAAAGGGAAAACACCACCAGCCTAGCAGCTTAAGACTTGCATGAGCTTCAATGATCAACTCCTCGTGCAACTTTGGTGGCACCTGCACATGGAAGGGACAGCACACCACCACAATCTCCAGCCCAGACTCTTGCCGCCTACATTCCTCCTGAACCTCCTGAAGCCTCCTCAAACTTGTACCATCAAAGCACACGTAAATCCCCACAAGCTTCTGTTTAAGTTCTGAAACACTGATACGACCATCCTTCTTGATATTGCACAGAACATCAGTGTCCCTAAGGCCCAAAAGCTCATTCAGGGAGAGCTCTTGCAGATTAGAATCACGGCATAAACCAATCTCCATTCTCTCCGGAGTAAAGGGGAAGCAATCGCATTCAGCTCCTCCAAACTCAAGAAACATGTTGGGCTGGCCATGGTAAAGCACCTTCTGAGATGGATCTAGAATCACGACTTTGGTCTCACCATCAAAACCGAGTGCTGAGCAAATGTACTCTCTCCGAGGAGAGTCATGGAAAGGGACAGCAAGGCAGGAAAATCCCGACAAGAAGTGCAGATATGTTTTGATAGAATGAGTGAAACCCTTCCTCATCATTGGCACCACCACCAGCACAAAATCGTCTCTTTTAGCAAGCTCGTGAGAAGCTAGAGCTGTGTGATAAACCACGGGTCCATCGGCTGAACTCCATATCGAAGGCACAAACACACAACAAATCATGATGTATTTACCCTTCAGGTTTAGGGTGCTCTCAATGTTAACATTCTCATTGCCTGTTGTCTTGCTTGAGGTAGATGCCAAAACACATTCTTGATCAGCATTAACACAACTTCTCAATACGGAATGAACATCATCATGACTACCCAAGCCTGGTTTAAACCCCATATCCACACCTTTATTCGGATCACACGAACCCACATAACTTGTGAAACTCAAGAGGTTATCCCCTAGCAAATCTAAAACATTCAGCCGTTTGCCTACTTTGATACTGGGCACGCGTGGGAAGGATTGGGAATAAATGGGGCATTCCTTATCAAAATATGAGCCGATCTTACCTTCCTTACTTAGGGCATGTGGGTCACGGAGGTCGTAAGTATCCCCAAAGCAGGAGACCAAGATAGAAGCTTTGATGTATTTTTGTCGACGCTTGGATATGTTTGGAAAGGATACCTTCTTTCGTAACAGCTTCAGCGTCCGATCTACGCAGAAAAATTGAATCAAATCAAAATTCAATGAAACTGAACACATAGATAATTACTCCTCTGTAATGGTTTAAATTAATCACCTGGTAAAGCTTTGTAAGACGTCGATCGGCGGCGGCGACGCTTGGAACTGGACTTTGATTTCAAGTCCGATTCAGCTAACGGATCTTCATCCCTCTCCACCTTCATCCTTTTGATGTATTTCCCACTTGAATTCAACCGCACCGAAACCCTAGCCCGACGTCCCCTTTCTATATCTATCAACAAAGAGTAATAATACTCGTATTTGATGGAATACGGACTGCTTCGTTTATCAATACTCCGTATTTCTCACATAAATTTTTTTTATTAAAAAAAAACAAATGCTTATCCTCTTATTCCTAAAAGGAGGGAATTCTACAAGCTGCTTTTCCCGCCCAAATGCCATCGACTATGGGCCGTTGATTTTAAGTAACCACCTCTTATTCCTAAAAGGAGGGAATTCTACACTTACACTAAAAATTGTATCTCATGTATACATTGCAGTTATACACAAACGTTTTAATAGTTTACACCAACACAATTGTTGGTGCGTTAATAAAAATTTACACGAATACAAAGTGTTGGTGCGTTAACAAAAATTATTTTTACACCAACACAAAATGTCGGTGCAAACCTGCGGTGTATAAATGGGGTACAAAAGTTTGGGGTACAAATAGCTTTATCCAGTAAATTATTATACGGAGTACATTATTTTATCTACATTTTTTACTTCTTATGCACTTATCACTTGATGGGTCGAAAAAAAAGAAAAAGAAAGCTTTAAAATTAAATCATTGGTTGTATTCCATTAAAAAAAAGGAAAGTTTATAAGATGGGTCATCTACGCTAGTATTTCATTAAAAAAAAGGGAAACTTTATAAGATGGGGAATTTTGCTTACCCTAATTAACTACAATTAACTTTATAAAATCCGTAATATAATAAAGATGTAAAATTCATGTGTATTTCATTAAAACAAGGAAATAAGTTTAACACATTATCTGAAAATAAAGGGGTTGTTAATGAAATTCTTGTGTATTTCATTAAAATCTGGGGTTTTTTGGTAAACATATTACGAGTCTGTTCTTTAGGACGAGAAAAAAAGAGTTAAATGTTGTAGCAATACATGGAGACTAAAACCTATTATTAGGAACCATTTATGAAACTTACTATTTTTTAATGAGTCATTTTTAGTATATAAACTTATACTAATATTTTCAAACAATCTTTTAATGATATCACATAGTTATTGTATATTTTTTTCAAAAGTGACACGTATTTAATTTTTATATTATTCACTTTATAAATATATCTAAAAAGTAATTAAGATTTTAAAATAAAATAATCTAAGAGGTTTAACATATGTAGTTTGATATTTTATTACTTCGATAAAATTTGAACCCAACCTAATTTGCTAATTTACCAACTCTAACTATCTCTTTTTATCCCCCATAAAAGTGTAAATGTATAATTGAAAATTTGATTACCGTTCGCATACTTATTCGTTAAAATGGAAAAAATCAAAATTCATTTAAAATGAAAATTATTCATATCCAACTACAGATATCCAATTAATAAACAGATACAAATTTGATAATCATAGATCCCATCCATTTAAACGATTCAGTATATGATATGTTTTGAAACATGGATTTAGATTTTAGATCAAGATTTGGCTCAAATTCCATATTTGGGAACTAAAAAATTTTGAACTTGGATTTGAGCAAAATTCTTTTCATTTATAACAACGCTTAGTTTGAAATCTATGCACCTCCCCTTGTCATTTGAAATTCTGAATTTCAAATTTTGAAATTGAAATGCATGAATTGAAATGAAATGCTAGTTGCCAAGTATTACCATAACGAATTTTGAATTAAAATTGTTATAATTAATACTCTGTATAATAATACTGAGTTGTATTCTACCCAGCCCACTACTAGGCCCAATATCAAATAATCCATTAATCCCCTTCAGGACTCATCTCTCTCGAGTCTCGACTCTCGCTCACATCGTAACCCCCAATCCACAATGGCGTCCATCGGCGCGTCGGGCATCGCTTTCTCCGTTAGCCATTCCCATCGCCGCCGTACTACGCCATCCACAACACCTCTACTCCGGCCACGCTCGATCAAATCCAGCCGAACTGGCTCTACCATATCTTGTAAAAACTCGGAACCCTCACAGCAATCCAGAGCCCGGCGAAATTCCGACGTTTTCCCGTCCAAGCGATTCAATGGACTCATTAAAGCCTCTGCTGCGCTCGGCTCTGGTCTCTTCTTGCTTTCTAAGGCGTTTCCTAAGCACTCATTGTTTGGTAATGGTGGGGGAGGTGGCTCCGGCGGAGGAACAGGTGGTGGAGGCGGCGGCGGCGGCGGTGATGGTGGTAATTTCTGGTCTGAGATTGTCTGTCCATCCGCCAATGCTGGGGAGGAAGAGTCGCAAGAGTGGGATAACCATGGATTGCCGGCCAACATTGTGGTCCAGCTGAGCAAGCTTAGTGGATTCAAGAGGTATAAACTATCGGACATATGCTTCTTTGATCGGAGTAGCGGGAAAAGAATAGGAACTGAGGATTCCTTCTTTGAGATGGTGTCTCTCCGGCCAGGTGGGGTGTACACCAAGGCCCAACTCCAGAAGGAAGTTGAAACCCTAGCTTCCAGTGGAATGTTTGAGAAAGTTGAAATGGAAGTGAGATCAAATCCGGATGGGACAATCAACATCACCCTTCCTTTCTTGGAGAGCACTTGGCAGTCTGCTGATAGTTTCACCTGCATCAATGTGGGGTTGATGGCTCAACAAAAGCCTATCGAAGTGGATTCGGACTTGACGGAGAAGGAGATGATCGAGTACTATAAAATGCAGGAGAGGGATTACAATAAGAGAATCCAAAGGTCAAGGCCATGTTTGCTTTCCCAGAAAGCTCAAAGGGAAATTTTGAATATGATTATTCGTAGTGGGAGTGTGAGTGCGAGACTGCTTCAGGATATAAGGGACAAGGTGCAAAAGTGGTACCATGAAAATGGATATGCATGTGCGCAAGTTGTGAACTTTGGTAACTTGAACACGAGTGAGGTGGTCTGTGAAGTGGTAGAGGGAGATATCACTCAACTTGCTATTCAGTTTCAGGACAAGCTTGGAAATATATGTGAAGGGAACACTCAGCTCGATGTTGTCAAAAGAGAAATACCTAAACAGGTCATTTTAATTTTAATTCCTTGATTTTTTTTGCTCCCATTTTGTTCATAGAGTAATCTCCTCTCCCCATTTAATGTACTCTTTATTGTAGTGTTCATGTTACTCTTTGTATTTTGAGGATTCATTTGACAGCATCTATATGGGGCTCATTCTGCTTATACGTTGAATAATCATTACAAGCATTACTGCCTTTGACATGTTTCATTGACTAGATTTGATGTTCCTAACATTTTGTAGTTTTGATAATTCAGCAGATTCAGCCACCATTTCAGCTTAATAGCCCTTAAGAAAGCATATAACTGCACTAGTTTCAATAATGAACCTGACTATTCTAGATCCCAATAAGTCATGATAACAATAGAATGTGGAATTGGAGCAAAGGTTAAGGGATGAAATTCTTTTGAAGCTCAATTTATCTGATTATGTTATTGTGCTTGGCATCAAATGTATAGGGTCTCATAGTGGATCACATATGTAATTAGTTTTATTGTTCATGCATCAATCGACTACTGACTATTGATTGCATATACAGCTCCGCAAAGGAAAAGTTTTCAACATTGAAGTTGGAAAACAAGCCTTAAGGAACATAAATTCTCTTTCTCTCTTCTCTAACATTGAAGTCAATCCACGGCCTGACGAAAAGAATGAGGGTGGAATTATTGTAGAGATTAAGTTGAAGGAATTGGACCATAAGTCTGCAGAAGTCAGTACAGAATGGAGTATTGTGCCTGGACGTGGAGGTCGTCCGACACTGGTATAGAATGAAAGTTCATATTTGAATGGTTTGATTTTGTATTTATTGTTTCTTCAAATTGTTCACGTGATGCATGCGCTTTTTGTGGGTATTGCTTTTTATTAGGCTTCAATTCAACCTGGTGGAACGGTTTCGTTTGAGCATCGGAATATTAAAGGGTTGAATAGATCAATACTTGGTTCTGTTACTACCAGCAACTTCCTCAACCCCCAGGTAATTTTCTTCACCATTCATTGTTTTTATTTTTATTACAAAAAAAGAAACACATTTTCATTTAGACAAGATTTTCACCAAAATTACTTGCAGGATGATCTTTCATTTAAGCTAGAGTATGTGCACCCATATTTTGACGGCGTAACAAACCCGCGTAACCGTACATTCCGTACAAGCTGCTTCAATAGTAGAAAGCTAAGTCCAGTTTTCACGGGTGGGCCAGGAGTGGATGAAGTCCCTCCTATATGGGTGGACCGAGCTGGAGTTAAAGCCAATTTTACGGAGGTAATTGAAAATTTCTCCCTTCTGTAGTCCTCTCCCAGTCTCACTAGACCTTATTATAAGTCTCAATTAACCGAACTACACTAACACATATCAGGAAAAGTAGAAATATTTTTGGGTTCTTAAAAACATTACTCTCTCCGCCCCAATTTGTTGTGCCCGTTTTCATTTTTACTCCTCCCCAATTTGTTGTGCATGTTTCTATGTATAGAGTATCTTGTGTGATTCATGGTATTTCTCCCTCTGTATGAGTTTCAGCCACACATTTTTCACTTTATTAATACCTCTTACCTGACAATTTTAGCACAACAAATTGGAACCAAGGTAGCATTATGTTTGAATTTGATTCTTTTTCACTTTCCCGTGTAAAAGAAAGCTTTGGTAAATGTAAAGATGGACACAGTTTCTCTTAGGGGCAAACGATGTTTATTAGTGGCAAACAATGTAAAAAAACAATAAGTGCTTGAAGGAAAAATGCCTTGTAAAAAGGGAGAACTGATTCATTATAAAAGCGACTTATAATAAGGACCCGATGGAGTAACATTTGTGATGTCCATGGGATATTGGACTTATATCAAATAAACATCAATGAAATAATTTTTCCAGAAAATTCTTTATTTTGCAAGCTCTTTTGATTGTTGTTTATTCTTGTTCAAGACTCCTGCCTCTCTTTTTGAACGTTATATAAATTGTCATATTGGAGCAGAATTTCACAAGGCAGAGCAAGTTCACATATGGACTTGTGTTGGAAGAGATTACTACGCGTGATGAAAGCAGTCACATATCTGCTCGGGGTCAGAGGGTTTTACCAAGTGGAGGAATCAGTGCTGATGGACCTCCTACCACGCTAAGCGACACTGGCATTGACAGGGTGGCATTCTTGCAGGCAAACATCACTCGAGATAACACCAAGTTCATAAATGGAGCAATTGTGGGTGAGAGGAATGTTTTCCAGGTAAGATGTGACAAATTTTTTTTTTTTGGGTTTTATCTAGACTCTAAATCTGGATCTCCAATAAATAGAG